TCTTGAATACCCACAGTCCCAACTACCTTATCTCTTTAATGTGCCTTCTCCTCTGGTATGAACTCCGGGTTGTATTATCTGCAGGGTTTAAGGACTTCATAGATGCAGAACCCAGATGACATGAGGTGCTGTATCCTGGCAACTTCACTGCTGTTTCTGCCATCTGAGCAAGGGACAGTCTGCTTCACAATGGCAACCAAACAAAACAATGCACACAACATTGCCGGTAACATGAGCAGCAATCCAATAAACCAAGAAGACATCCTTTCCAAGAGCTGAGAGGAAACTATAGACGAGTCCATTTTGTCTTCAATTATACATTGCAGCATATTAGAATCCCTCACAGTTGGTGGTATTAGATCCAATGAAGAATAATTTTTTTAAATTGGGAAAATATTTAACAATTGTATGTATGTATATAAACATATACTCATGTGTGTACATATATACTATATATAAACTTCTATATATACATGTACACTCTACATGCACATTCATATATATTTATGTATGTGTGCATTTACACATTTTCCATATGTTCTTTTCATGTAAAACATATAGACACCCCTTCCCCACCTTTTTGGTGTTGAGGCAAGTGCATAGCCACATCCACAGATTTAAGAGAATTATCTGTTGGAGAATATAAATTTCACATAATAGTCAGTATGTTCTCTGATGTCCTGTTGCTCCATCATTTGACGTTAGCTGTCTAGGACCTGGTCATCATGACGCCAGTAACTTTAGCAATTTCAGTCAAAAGTCAATTCACTATCCAATTCTTTGACCCAAACGTGATAATCACCCTAGTGACCAAATGATGTTTAACTAGACTGACTAAAAATATTAGCACAAGTGTAGCTACCTTAGAAAATTCGAACGTGAACTGTACAAGAGAACAAGCATATTTCTTGGGCAAACTCCCTGACTTTGGGAATGATTTTGCTGTCCATATACTTCATATTTTTCCCCATTCAAAATGATCATCTACCCCTGAAGACAGCACACCTAACATCAGCCTTCTAGTAAGAGTCAGTTGAAGTTGAATAGTTCATAAATCTAGAATTGCCGCCTTAAGAAGCAGATTAGAAACTATCATTTGGTTTCAGTGTTTGCTTAACTCTTACCTACAATACTCAGAATCCATACTCTGGTCAATCATTTCCAATCTCTTCACATTCACCCTGCTTATGTTACAGTCAGTCAGTCAACAAGTATTTATTGCTCTGCCAAATTGGCAAAATACACATAGCAGTAACAATAAATTCCTTCTAAAGCTATATATTCTAGAAAGGGATCATTAAAAAGAAGCACTGCATGAATAACGGCAGAAACGCAAAATATTTCTTGAAAGCTCTGGTCCGTATTTCTTCCATCACACACACAACAGAGACATCAAAAGGATGTCTTCAAGATTATTCATTTAGAAGAAGCAGTATACTTAGGAAGTATGCAGATAATTTTGTAATTGCTGTTTGACTCTCAAAGACTTTTGGAGTTAACTTTTTTCTAAATGGAACTGTAAGATAAATGCCTGCCCTAGTTTCCTAAAGTTTTCTGTATGGATTATAATTAAATCAATTTACATATTTTAATTATGTCTATAATTGCAAAACCCACATATTGTCAAAATTTTAAAATCATTAATAGCAGACTTTAAGCAAATATAATGTTTGTGCTGCATTTTGAAATCTCAGTTTCTGAGGGAGGAAAAGCACATTTTCCCTTTTTTAGAAAATAAAACACATTACACTTTTTTTAAGCCACAAAGGGATTTAAGGGCAGTGAAAGAATTTGTTAGTACTGTTATTCTGCATGACACCATAATGATGGACATATGTCATTATACATTTGTCAAAAGCTACGAACTGCACAAAGAGAAGTTTAGTATAAACAGATTTTAGTTAATAATAATGGACTGGCATTATCTCATCAGTTGTATCGAACGAGCCTCTGATGTTAATATGAAGGGTGATGTATGTGGGGGGTTACAAGTGAGCTATGTTCCTCACTCATTTCTCTATCAGCCTAAAAGTACTCAAAAAAGTTGAAAAGGCTAACATAGACTCAAAAGGCTAACATAACACAGCTCATTTACCTTTGCATTGGTTAAAACTCAACCTGCAATAGGTACGAATTCCCTATGACAAATGTGATCAGTATGTATATCTTAATGGTGCCAATAAACTTAATTTTTAAAAAACTCAACCTGCAAAAACACTAAAATATTCAGTTCTAACTTCAAAGTTTTAGAAAATCATGCCATTACTGGTAAGGTTTTGATGCTTTAATCATTTCTTCATATTAGCAAATAAACCTGTTTTTGCTTTGATTTGCAGATTGAGAATGACAATGAACACAGGTGCGGCAGTACATGCAGATGTCCATCCACAGTACAAATCCAATCATTCACACTGATCACTCGTAGAGAGAAGGCAAGGGGTGATGTACTGAATTGGTCTGGGCACTGTCACCATTACATTATATCTTCTACAGAGTTATCTGTGGAAACCTAACAACTTGGTTTCAGAGGTACCTTACAAGCAAGACACTTTTAAAATACAAGGTGGGTAGAAAAATGATGACACAGTAGCTAATATCTATGCAAATCCTCTCAGACGTGTGCAAGAAAAAGGAGAATGTTAGCGGCAGGTATTACTTTGGTATTTTCAAGCCTGAGATTTTAATAGGGTTACATTTATACCTATCCAATAACCTTAACTGAATCCCCAAGGAACATAATGTTCATACCCCACGGGTTATACATCTTTTGGCCAGAAATTGCCAAGAAATCCCAAGTTCTCTACAAAGGAAACTAGGGACACAAAGGATGCTTAAAAAGAACCAAACTGTCAGTCCATTAAGGAGTACTGTGATGCACCTGCTATGCATCTGACACAAAAATAATTTTCACACCTAAAAGCATTTAGAAGCACTGATACAGAGGTTTCAAAAAAAGCATCAGTAACCCAAAGGAAAACTAGAACTCAGAAGAGGTTCCAGGAATCTGAAACTTTTTCCACTGGAAAATATATTCAAAATATGAAATAAATTGTAATATCTATGCTAACAATTAAGGACACCAAAACTCAGGAAAGGAAATTAGAGAACATGTAATTTCAAACATCTATGGCAAGAGTCTAAATTTTTCCTTTCTTCCAAAGTCTAACAGCAGTCAGTCACTCTTAGTTCTTGTAATCAAAAGCCAAAACTAAACAGAATTTTTAAGAAGCTTCAGAACAAATAAACACACAGTACAAGTCAATACCTCAGTTGTCTGGATTATTTTTCTCTCACTTAACGCACCTGCTCATTGTTTTAAGGTTTCCTTCAGAGTTGAGACCTTCATTTTAAAAGTTTGTTAATATTTTAAGCCACTACTTTTCTCACTCTCTTCCTAATTCCCTTCATAATGCCCTAATTAATTCTAATTCACTCAGGCTCATTTTTTATTTGGAGAAACTACTTTATTTTAAAACCTAGGAAAAACAGAAGTATTCCCCTCATGAAATTCCTTTTGCCACGTGGTAAAAATTAAATTCCTCCAAAATGAAGGACGATGTGGACCCAAATGTTGTGACGGCTCTTTTGCCTGTAATTCAAACAAGTATACTATAAGCACAAATCAGATCTTTGCAGTGATTCCACCCAACATCTCCTAAACTAACAATAACCAGGGCCCTAAAGATGACCTAGTCACTGATAGATTCAATCTCCTCTCGAGTGGGTCCTAATAAAAAAATTTTAAATAATTAGACAATTGAAACCTAAATTCAAACTGAGGCAATGAAATGAATAGAAATGAGTATTTGAAAACTATGTCTTTTTGTAAAATAAAATCAATTCTAATCCACAACCTGAGTCCTTAAAATTGGATGTATATCACTGCCATTTGGATTATTTATCAACACTGCACTTCCCACAGCTCTCAGACAATGAGGTTGTTGGGGCCTAAGACGAGTGCCATACTTACAAGCACCTTCATGCTACCACAAAAGGCAAGACCACAACTTTGTCTATCTGTGTCTCATGTCTACTTTTGCCTCTCTCTTTCCTTTGTATGCATAACATATATTGTTGTCTCTGGATGTCAGGTCACTACTCTGAAGTTCCAGAGGAAAGGAATGAAAACGGTCTCTACTGCCCCTTGCTCCCTACAGAAGGACTTTTTTCCTCTTCCACAGTATTCTATCACTCTTTCCATCATAAAGCAAAATGTGGAGAAGAGTTAAGGTCCTATTATCTCTCATAAGTATTGTTTTCATCTTCTATCTGGAAAATAGTACAAAGTACTTGTGTTTGTTGCTAATTCTTTACACTTAGATTTCATCTCCAAATTCAAATCCAAACTACCACATATAGCTGCTGGCTAAATTTTTTAAAAGAAATGAAGGAAAAACATGAAGAGTCTCTGGCCTTGCTGCCAATCATACTTCCTGAATCAGCACTCTTCTTGGGTTAGTGCATGAGTGATTTCTTCACTTTAGTTTTCCATGGACCCCATCTAAACTATTCAACTATCTCAATTCATCACCATACTGTACAAGTTGAGACTGCCATTACATAGTTAGAAGAATCCAATAGCTTTCTCTTCAAATCTGTATCACTTTCTACCAAAACTTACTGGATTCTGATCCAACATATAGGATAGTTGGTCTTTTTTTTAGATTTTAGAAACTAATGATGTTCAGTATAATAAACATATGCTATTTCTATTAAAAATGCTGTATGCTACTCTGAATGCAAGGAGATAACATTACACTTAGAATTGTTTTGCAACATATTTCTTTCAATTCATGGTCTATGGAAAAATAACCATGTACATCATACATAACTTAATTCTAAACCAGAGCTGAGTGCTGAAATCAGTTCTGAGTAGGAAGAAATGCCAACATTTAAAAGACCGAAGTTCCAGACCTACAACTTTGAAAAAAGACAGCAACCTTACATAGAACATGGATAAATGTAGGAAAGTAGAAACTTTCAAAACTTGAGGCTCTTACCAGAAATGGACTCCAACAAATGCAGGAGACACACATGATAGCCAGGAGCTGGATAACCATTTCGAAATGATGAGACCTGCCCTGTCTATGATGCTGACTTTTAAATTTAACTCTTAAAAGTGTAATTCCTGTGATGGCATTGCAAAAGAATGAAACACCAAGGGCTAGGAGGCCCAGGAAAGAAAAAAGGAGAAGATAAAATCTGTCTTCCCAGTCTTCAATATCTTCAGTGTTGTAGAAACACCAGGTCCTGGTGGCTTGAATTTTATACTCCCTATGCCCAAGAATGGGCAGCAAAGCTATAAAAACAGCAAACAGGCACACACCACTCAGCATCATTTTCACATGTTTGGATGTAATTTTTGTGGAATGAAATATTGGTTTGGTGACACCGATACACCGCTCAATGGCCATCACACTGCCTAGAAAAAGTGGGCACAAACCCGAGAACACCATGCTGATACCAAAAATACTGCAAAGGACATTGGACTGATCAAAGCGGATCCAGTCTTTGTCGGATGCATACACAAACACTGCTATGGCTCCATTGATGAGATGACCAAAGAAGTCTGTGATGACCAGCCCGCTAGCCAAAAGCAGAAAAGACGCCTTGGACTTCTGTCTGAACCTCTGATACGCCTTCATGAGAATGGCAATGGCCAGGCTGTTTGATAAGATCCCCACTGTCATGAAGATGATTGAAAAAAATACCGAAAGCCGATTTTCTGTCTGGCAGGTTGTGTTTGAAAGAAGCACAGCTGCAGGAGACACTGGCTGCTGGGAATTGTTCATGGACATTGTTGTGGAGATAACAGCTGGTCACTCAAGTCATCTCCCTTTCACAGCCGTGCAGGCTCGCAGTCCAGGCATCTGTAGCATAGGGAGAGAGGAATGGTAAGCAACAAACATCTGCCCATCCGCTATTTAAGACTGAAGTGTCCAGGGTTCTAAGGTGGGATCCAATTTGCCCAACCTATCATAAGCAAGGTCGCCTCATTCTGAAACAGCACCCATCTGCCTAGCGTTCATTTTCCTTTTCAAGCTAAAAAGGTGCCAGAATTGAGGCCTGTTGGTTAACATCGCTCTCCAAACAGCCGCCTCCTAAATGTCCTTCAGGCAGTTCACTGACACCTCAAAACCGGTAAGGATTATAAACTCACTAAGAAGACTAGATTTAAATCCACTAAAGTTGTTGAAAGCATAACAATCTATTTAACTAAATGCACTTTTTAATCTCTTTTTTTCTTTTCTCTGATGGGCTTTGTCCCCGAACTGCAGATTATTCCCTCAGTGAACCACCTGATCGCTCCTCACGCAGGTGTCACGCTCTTTCCTAAACTTTGGGAGCGGGACCAGCAAACTCCCTGATGTTCCACAGACAGTTTCTCAATCGGTTCCTAAAACCTAAATCACATCTCAGCACGCCGCACACCACCGACCCACGGAAGGCAGAGGGGGCGAAGGTGGGAAGGGTTCCCCGTTTAGCCACCACCTGCGCGGGCAGTCCGGTTGAGGATGGCAAGGAGGCGGTCGCGCTCATTCCCGAGACGTCTGCCGAGATGCGATTAAATTACACCCTCCGAGCAGCAACAGCCAATGCGGAGTGTTTGTTTGTTGCGCTTTCCTTAGAGAGCTGACGCTTGAGTCACAGACACTAGATACACAGGACCGGCGGCAGCCACCGGCCGGGAGCTCCTTCGCTCCGCGGTTCCCACGTAGCTTCCCGGGAGGCTGGAATTCCGGAGCCAGCCCTGCCTGGCCGGAGTGGAGCCGCTCGGGCCGCTCTGGAGGCGGCCGCCACCCCAGGTCTTACTCACTGACTTTCGCCCGTTCCTAACCCTGCGCCCCAGGCATCTGCTTGCAACATCCTCCCTAAACCTACTAAGTTGCTCAAACTTTCTGCAATTGCTCAAACCCCAAAGGGCTGTTTCCCTCCCACTCCGGGGGCGCCAAAGGCCTGCACCCGCCCGGGTAAGGGATGCCCGCAGGGAGGCCCCGCGAGAGATGCAGATCTCTCCTTCGCCTGCGTCCCTCCTCTGTCGCATCCCCATCGGCCCAGCTCACGATCGATCGGACCGGCTCCGCCCGAGTCCCTCCTCCCTCTACAGGTCTCGGAGCCCCGGAGAGCGCGGTCCAAACTCGTCTCCAGGCGCAGCCCGCAGCAGCGGCCGCCGGGCGGCTCACGGGGTGGGGGGAAAGGGGGCTTAAAGCAGGGTCGAGCTGAGCATCCCAAGCTGAGCAAGGTGGTACCTCGGTGTCCCCGGCCGCCGGCTGCTGTCCGCGGAGCCTCCCGCGCGCCGCTCCGTGCGCCATGGCGCGCAGCCCCGCCC